CTTTGTACAGATTTGCGTTGCAGTGTTTCCAGCCAACCTGGGAGCCTAGGGGAAGGGAAGCAGGGTTTCCAGTTAACAGTGCTGGAAGTACAGGGTGCACCAGTGGTGCTCATAAGAGGAGGGCAGCAGCTGCACAGATAACCCTCCAGGAGAAGCCGGTGGGAGCATTCGTCTTTGGGTGAAGCTGAGGACATTCCTGGTTCTCTGCTTTCTCCTTCAATGACCACTCACAGGAAGAGACTGGAGGATACACAGGGGCTGCACAGTGGACAGGTTCAGATTGAATCTTAGCAGCTGGAACCTGAGTGGAAGCCTTGTTTCCTACAGCGATGATGCATAGAGAGCGAGGGAGTGACAGGAAGCCAAGGCCTGCCGTCTTTTGGGGGTCAGAGAGGGCAGTCTACTTGACTGCCAGGGCTCGGAGGAGAGATGGGCTGAGAATGGGTGTATTCATTGCTTTGGGCTGCCATAACTGCCACAGATCGAGGGCCTTCAACAGTTGATGTTCTGGAGATTAGAAGTCCACAATTAAGCTTTTAGCAGGTTTGGTTCTTTTGAGACTTCTCCCCTTGGCTTGTGCACTTGTGCATGGCTGTTTCTTCCTGTAACTCCCTGGTCTTCCCTCTGTGCCCAAACTTCCACATCTAAAAAGGACACCAGTCAGATTGAATTATGGCCCACCTTAATGACCCCATTTAATCCTAATCATCTCTTTAAAGATCCATTCTCCAAGTACAGTAGCTTTTGAAGGTATCAGAGGTTAGGATTTCAACATGTCAATTTTGGAGGAAGACTCAATATCGCCTATGACAACACCACAAAACCCAGGCAAAGGGGCCGGGGAGAGGTGGAGGTGGTGAGAGCAATCGAGGAGCAGGGTGGAGACAGCTAAACGGGTCAGTAGTGCTGCTGTAAACAGGTAGGATGCTTGCTGAATAGTATATGGATGGGTCGGTCAGTCTAGTCTACTAGACAGGCATGCTGGGCACCTGCCCCCAGCAACCCCTTACACTCTCGGACCCTCAGACATTCCTGCCCATAGGACCTGCCTCTGCCAATAGAAGAGGTGCTTCCACATTTGGATCCACTCTTAATCTGGGGATTCCATAAAGCCTTCTCTCTTCAGGAGAAGATCCACAGTCACTGTGTGGATTGGGCTTAATGTCCTCTGCTCAACTCTCACTCCCCACAAGCAGTGTAGTATGTTTAGGGTGAGAGAAAAGCTCACCTGGTTGGTTTCTCTTGGCAACAGAGCACATCTCACTGACCCTGCTGCAGGGAAATAGGGCTCCTGGAGTAAAGGGTGGCATCAGCCCCATGTTAGCGCGCTGCGCTTCTGCTGTAGTCAGTGCCTCCCTTAGGAAGGTCATGGGGCTTTCTCTCACTCCAGAAGAGGTTGCCTGAGGATCCCTTTTCACAGCAGGATTAATGCAGGATGGGCTGTCTCAGCCTCATCACTCCTCAAGGCCTGGAGTTTGGCCATATGCGTGTCTGGCTCCTTGTTCCCAGAGCACCCTGTAGCCACATTATCATCGTTTATTACCTTTGGACCCCGAGTCTGGCTGTGAGAGAGCCATTTGTGCAGGACAAAATTAATGGCTTTGTTTGGGAGTCTCAGATGAGAGATAGAGGGGAAGACGTCATGGAACTTGATTTTGGGAGAGAGTTTGATGTATCATCTCATAAAATCTTGCTCACCAAATTAATTCAACGGTCAGGTGGCCTGGACACTGGCCAGTGACCCCAGAAAAAGTCAGAGATGGGTGAGATGGTCAGGAGGCTGCCATGGGGCACAGAGGCAGAATGGCTCTTAATTAAATGCTTGTCTGATGAACAGGGTAAGCAGCTCATCAATAACTGATGACAGCTGAAGGCAGGTGAGGCACCAACTGGAAGGAAAACTGGGGCAGTGAATGCTGAATGGGTCTAGTGAAGCCCTGTGAACCAGCTTCCCCATTTATCTTGCGTTGTGAAAACATGTAAATGTCTAAGAGGGCAGGATGGCCAGAGGTGTACCCTGCTGGCTTTGTGGGGTGCGTATTTGCCTTAGTTCTTGGTTTATCTGTGTGTAGTCCTAGGGCTGGGTGTTTCTTATGTGTGTCTCTGGCAGGGCACCATGTACAGCTGCACAGGTTGCACACACTGTACTCCTCTCTGAATGTGTGCCATAATGTTCCTGAGTGTGTGTGTGTGTGTGTGTGTGTGTGTGTGTGTGTGTACAGTGGGAAGAGTGTGGTAGTGACCACTCCATATGGACTCCAAGAGCTGGAGGAAACTGAGGGACCTTTCTCCTTCAGATGGAGCTTGGTGGGAGGAGGGAGGATGAGATGGGTATTACATGAAGCCACCCCTGGAAGAGCATCTCTCTTTTACTGGATATCCCACCCCAACTCTCCTTTAACTTGTAATAAGGACGAGATGATGCTATTTCTCATTCTTTATTTGCCCAGAATGCTTGTTATTTTCTTTCTTTCAGAATCCAATTTTCTCTTGACATTTCTGCCTAATGTAGCAAAGCATGACCTTTGGGAGAGGACATTGCTGGCCACCTGTCCTCTAGAAGCCTGGGGCTGGCTTCCTGGTGCTCCTCCCTCCTCTGTGTCACCTGGACAGCTTCTGTCAAGTCCCCCCCATTGCTTACCAGGGGCTGCACCCCAGGATCCTTTACACCTGGGGTTTTGGGTTGTGGAGTCCTTGCAAGATACTGCTGTTCAGCTTCAGGTTAGGGATTTTGCTCAAGGAAGCTAAAGGTAGAAGTCACTGTCTGGCCCAAGTTCTGACAGGATTCCATTGTGGATATAGACTTCTTGGGCTTGCCCAAGGATGTAGCTATACATAAACAGCAAATCACAAATAACAAGGAGAAAAACCTAGCTACCTGGATGGTTTAAATCTCAATTGATTAACACATCATAAAGGCTTATGACAACAGAGACTCAGAGAGTAGTACTGAAATTTGTTGTCCTCAACTCAAGTTTTGGGCTGCCAGTCCAGGAGCTATGGAGAGCCAGTGTCTGGGAGGCATGTGCTGGGCCCTCTGTTCCACCCCTTAAAGTAGGAGAGGGGCCACTGTAGAGAGCTTGGCCAGTGATGTCCTTCATCAGTCACCAGTACAGTGCTTCTATCACCTTTTCTATCTGATCAGTGGGGATAGTAGAAGTTTGCAAGGATCAAGCATAGAGGTTCTGAGAAGCAGAACATTATGGGTGGCTTAGGTTTATTGCTTTAGTGAGCACATGCTGTCACACCAGGGTGCTCAGCCCTGCCAGGGAGAGATGGATGAGTGTTAGAGCCATCACAGGCTAGCCAAAGCCTAGCCAATCCAGGCCAATGTAGGGCCAACAAACTTGCCACAGACAGGTTGAACAAGTTGAGTGTAAGAAGAGGATGCTCTGCCTCTTGGTTGCTCTTGTATTTGAATATCTGTTCTTGTTATGAGCTGAGTATACTCTCCCCTTAGGTGAACTTTAGCCCTGTCTATTCAACAGATTTGTTTCCTTTATAACCTCAGTGTGATCTTTTGAAGTCTTCCTCATCTCATTAGGTGGCTTTCACCTGGTCCCTTGGTTTTCTCACCCCCTCTCCAAGGTTTCCTTCAGTTCTGGTGGCTTCATTTTCAACACTTATCTTGAATCCATCCACTCAGTTGTCTATCCTCCCTTTTCTTTGCAACACTGTAGCAGTCACCTAATTGGCCTGCCAGCTTCTGGCACTGTTCTTCCAGTTAAAAAAATGGTAGATTATGTCCCCATTAAAAACCACCCAGTGCCTTCCCATCACTCTTTAAAATAAAGTCCATGAGCGCAGCATAAATCCCTATCCCACTTATCTCCAAGCACTGACCTATCCTCCCTCCTGGCTGGTCTTCTTCCTGGCTCAGACTCCTCCTGGACCTTTGCAGTCTCTACTTCCATTGCCCAAACTTCTCTCTGATACTCAGCTTGTTCTCCAGTTTGTCGCAGGTCTCACATTACCTTTTAGGCAGGCACTTTTCTTAGCACCTGTGTGAAGGCACCTTCTCTCACTCCCACATCAGATGCTCTTCTTCCTGCTTATTCACTTGTAACTTGAATATAAGGCTCCAGAGGGACCTTATCTTCCCCCTCTATAGTCCACCCCCTCACTCCTCAGTGTAGCTTACATTCCAGTCTCAATTCATATCTTCCATAGAAGCCATCTAAATATAGGTGCATGTGTACGCATATGTGTGAGCATAAACAAGAGTCTGTGTTTGCTTTTATTACCTACCTGTTTAACAGACATAAGCACATGCATGCTTGTGTGTGTGGACAGACGTTTACTTAAATGGTATCAGCCTGCCTGCCGCCCATTCCCAGCGGCAGATGAGAACATTGTTCCCGGGGTGCCACTTCTGCCAGTGTCTGCTGCCTTCAAGGGCTGTTATCCCATCAAAAGTTGTTTGTTAAGGCTGACAAAGTAATAACTGTGAGCGTGTTTCTTCTTTTATTCAGGAGACTAATGGCTGCTCCTTTCCTCTGTACATCCTAGTGAGAATAATTAAATAGCCATTAGGAGGAGAACAGATGTGTGAATAAAGGCTGATGTCTTGATGTCATGTATGGGCATGTTTGCTGCGGAAGGGTGGCTAGAAGGAGTTGCGTGACCTGCAGTTTTCCCCAATGCAGTGTTAAGGATGTGTAGATGTTAGGGTAACCTTAGAAGTCTCTGTCCTCCTAGAGAAGGATGGCTTCAGAAGGCCCCCCAAACTTTTGTCCCGAGAAGAGACCATGAGGGAATAACCAAGAGGATTTTATTGCTTCCTTGATTTTTAAGACTGCCCTAAAAAGATCTCAGACTCCTCTCCAAACCTGATCTGTAGCTTCAACTACCAGCAGATGCATTGTTAGCAGAATAAGATGAAGAAAAAGAAAAAGAAGGAAGACAAAGCCAGGCTCCAGTGCAGTGACCAACCTCCAGAGGGAGAACAATATGGGTGCCTGACCTGTCCTTTAACTCCTCTTTCTTTGTCAATCTTGCAGAAACCTATCAAGTAACCGACTCACTACGCTCTCATGGCAGCTCTTCCAGACGCTGAGCCTTCGGGAATTGTAAGTTTGGATTTGGCGACTGTGCAGGTGGTGAAGTGGTAGTAACAGTTGGGTGGGCAGAAGTGTTGAGCCCTGGAGCTACCTGAAGGCTGGGTGCACACTGAGGGGCTGCTTGGTTTGGATGACCTTAAGTGTACCATGTTCAGTAGAGCTATGCCCCCATTTGCTTGATTTCTTACACTCTTTCTGTGAACACTGTATGTCAAAGACAGAATCTCATCTCTTGTCAGGCCTTCGTTTTGTGATTTTCAGGTAATTAGAAGTAATAGTATTAATATTTATAATAAACAATATGCATCAATTTAAAATAAATGACATTCATGTTATATAACTCTATAGGTTACGAGGTATGCTTTCATTAGATTTATTACCATGAGAGTAATGGGAGATACTCTGCATTTTATGGGTAAGAACTGCGAGGCCCAGAAAGACATTCAACACTCAAACACGATTGCATTGTTAGGGACTGGTGTGGAACCAGGAGTTGAATCCAGGCCTTATAACTTCAGATTGTGTCTTTTTCAACTCTCACCACCTCCTGTGAGCTATTTCAGCTTGAGTGTGGGCATCCTGGAAGCTGGTGGGAGGCGAGATACATTGATTTAATCTGCATGGGAACTGCTTAGCCTTGCTGTATTCCAAGGCTAATGAATGCACCACTACCCTGGCCAGCCATTTTGTGCAAACAAATGTTGTCTGGATGAATGAGAATTCGTGACCACTGCAGGAAAAAAATAACTCATGTTGATGTATGAGTCATTCGGTCATCTCTGTGCATGAAGGACAGCGTATTATGTTGAGGAAATAAATCAGGGAATAAATTGAAAAGGACTTGAGGCATGGATGAAGTGAGGAAGTCAGGTTTTCAGAGATGCTGCACATGTGTTCTTTTTTACTTGGTGACTCAGATCCAGATTCACTGAATGCAGATTGCTTTATTGTTGTGTTCACCAAGAGCAATGACCTTGGACCTCTGCCTAGGCTATTGGCCTTTCAATGTGTTCTTCTTCACCTAGAAAGACCTTAGTCACAATCTTTTGTGTTTGGACCAGCTGGGAGGATGGAGAGTATTTATATCCAGTGTCTCAATGGCTTTTCATTCCATGACAACTTTGTATCCTGTCTTTATCCTCATGGGCCTAAGTGCCCATAGGATGCATTAGAAGGCCACTCTAGGAATAGGTTGGACAGAGGATGTCTCTTTCAAAGTGTTGGGATTTTAGGACAATACTGCTATGGGTTGATTTCCATCCTTAGGCTTGATTGTGCCCCTCCCACCAGGCTACTACTCTGGTATAGGTACCACAAGCATCAGCATTCTTAGTTACTTATGGCTGAGATCCAGGTGGACACCAATAATAACTCCTACCCAAGCTGGGAAAAAGGTAAATATGTATGTATTTGTTTATAAACCACCAAAAGTAGACTATTTTATAGGCATCTAGATGTCAGGCTGTTACATTTTCTGTGTTGCATTCATCCAGATCTTTGTAGGTGGAAAAGATCTTAGAGGTAAATTAATATGAGTGCTATAATTATTACTCACACTGATTTCTGAGCTCTTCTTCTGTGCCAGGCAGTGTTCCAGGTAATCTATTAAATTATGTGTATTATTTCATTTAAGCCTTATGACAATTCTGTAAGGTAGGAATTATTACTATCAATTCACCTTCAAGGACACCAAAATGTTTAGCAAGGTTAAGTATCTTCTTTAAGGACACCCATAAAATGGCACTATGTAGATTGAAAGCTTTGACTACTACATTCAACTGTCTCCCAAGTATTTTTAATCTTTCTCCAATGCAAGGATCTATTCTACAATAATGTTTCAAAATTGCATAGCTGTTTCTTTCCTAAATTATTCTTGAACCAATTGGCAGCCCCAGGAACCTCTCTTTCTTGGCAGTCTCGTATCTCCTTCTCCTGGGATTCTGCTCCTTCATCTAGGGAGGCCAGGGACAGTGTCCTTTCAGGGGATATCTGGGGTCTGCTGTTAGCTGAATTATTGAGAAAATGTTCCATGTTCTTTCTAAGAAATCGTTGGATGTGAAATCAATGGTGTGCTGCCCTGGTGACCTGTTTCATAGAGATTTAGAAACAGTTGTTCCATGGATATATATTTAAAGAAAATGTCAGATTTCTCCCAGAGGATCATGGGATTCTGCATTCATCTTTGCCTGGGATCAATACACCGGTGAGCTAGATGTAACTTATGGAAGAATGAAGACATTCCTTCCAGTGTGAGTCAGCGCATGAGTGTCATCATGTCCATGGAGTATTTTATTTCTGTCATATTGTTAAATAAGAAAAAATTATATTGGAGGGTAAGGAACCCCCCCCCCCCACTCCAAGGAGCAGTTGCCCTGTAGGAGTCTTTTTTATGAAGGAAGCATTGAATGCTGCGAGTGGAAAATTTATCTTCTGGCTGGAGGGGCCATGCATTGGCTTTTAGCTGTGGCTATGATTAAAATCCAAACAATTCCAGTTCCTGGCAAATGGAAGAGGGGGTAGTATTTTCTTCTCTGACTCTTGATTAGTCCACATAGTGCCATCTGCCATGAACCATCTAGATTGCTAGGGTCTGCCCGATACAGCCTGTGGGCTGGGGTGTGTGGGGATGGGTCTGGTATTTTCAGGAAGAAAGAATTTGGATTTGGAGAAGAGAGGGTTCAGCATGCAGTGATGGCCAGGAAAAGTCACAAGCCAGAAGTATGAGGGTTCTAGGGACCACTTCCAGGGACAGAAACCTGAATAGGGCATTTGTTGCTTTCTTAGCATATTTCCTTCCATCACTGAGGATCTCTGCCGTACCTTCTAGCAGCATCTTCTCCACTAGACAATCCATCCTTGATGTCAGAATTGATGCTGATGGGACTCCCCATTAGAAGGGCTCAGTGTCTACTACATTTCCAGTAGGACAGGAAAAGGAAGAGGAACATTTTGAGTACTTAATGTGTGCAAGGACCTGTCTCATTCTTGGAACGGTCTCATAGGGAAGCATCATTATAACCAGTTTAACAAATGAAGGATTTTAGGCAGTGCTAATTTAAACAACTCACCCTGACCACATGGCTGGTAAATGGTAAATCTGGGGATTAATATTACGATGTTTGGCGTTACCGTCATGCAGGTCTACTGTTTCCAATGACCATGGTCTTTCAACCCAGCAGTGCATCCTACAGTATTCTGCGTCTCCTTCCTGAACCCACTTTGAAGGTGATGGCTGTCCTAAAAAAATAAGTTAGCCATGTCAGAGCCATATGCCAGGACCCATCCTTTACTTTCTGTCATTTACTTTTGTGAAAGAGGGGATGTCTTGGGAGGTACCTGGTTCACAGTCTCCCATCAGTCTATCCGTCTCACCTGGCGAACTAGGAACATCTTTTAAGATCTCCTTTGGAGTAGCTAGCAATACTTCCATGGTGCACATTTGAAGGAATTTGGCTTAGCATTGTATAGTGATCTCATAAGTTTCCGCTCATAGGAAGACTTTCTTTTTTACTTGACAAGAAGACTGGACCTGCCTGTCTAAAAATCAGAGATAGAATAGGAGAGATAAGGAACAAATCAGGAAGAAGGGAAGCTTGGATTCTGAATCCCATGATACCATTTTGCAATGCAAGAGGCACCAGAGGACTTTAGCCCACCACTTAGAAGCCCTCTGGAAATACCCTAAGGGCCATTAATGCATCTCAAACAGGGTTGTCTTCATACCATGCATGCACAGAACAGACATGATTAAAACGGATTGGAATATTTCATTTTCTTAAAGCAAAGTGATAATTACTTCTGATATAATTTGCAGATTTAATCAACTCAGTAAAATATTAACTCCATCTCAGATGGGCTTCGGCTGACCCTGGCACTTTGCTTCTCCTAGTCTTGGCTGTGACCACTTCGAAAGCTCTTAGAGAAGTCACTAAACAATCACATTAATAGCAGTATTACTATAATAATAATAATTTCTGGCCTTTTTAAGGCCCCCTTTTAACTCTCAAAGCATATTAATGTATATTATTGCTAATTCTCTCAATCACTTTATGAAAGAATGTCAAATGCAGTCATCTCCATTTTATGGAACTTTGGAGAATTAAGTTACTTGCAGTTTTCCGGGGCTCCCTTAGCAAGTTATTATAAATTTGGTGGCTAAACACAACAGAAAATGATTTTTCCTTGTTCTGGAGGCCAGAAGTCTGAAATTAGGATGTGAGCGTGGCTGTCTTCCCTTAAAGAATTCTTCCTCACCTCTTCCAGCTTCTCGTGGCTTGTGGTGTTCTTTGGTTCGGGAGAGCTTCTCTTGTCTCTGCTTCAGTCTCACATCTCTGTCTATCTTTCATCCTCCTCTCCATTCTCTTATGAGTGTCTGAGCCACTGAGCTTAGGGGTCACTCAGAATCCAGAATGACCTCATCCTTTGATCTTTACCTTGACTCCTTCCAAAGAAGGTCACATTCACAGGAACTGGGGTAAGGACTCAGACATATCTTTTTGGAGAACACAATTTCACCCATTATATTTGCTCATGGTGACACAGTTGGCTCAACTCACATCTTTATGCATTTTTTTCTATGCCTGAAACTATCTCCAGGAGGCCTGGGCTGTGTCCTTCACTCTGTGACACTAGTACTGCCCTTGCTGATTTGGGACCCCTTCCCACTTTCCACCCCTTGGGCCCCAAGATTGCCACTGGCAGAGCTGATGCTGTGGAGGGAAGAAGAAAACCATCCAAGCGCTGACTGCAGAGGAATCAATGTTTTCTAAACACCCAGCCACGGCTTGGCTGTGCTGCAAAGTGCTTGCATGCCCAGGCCCACTGGCTGCGGCTGAGTTAATCTGTGGGAAGCCCCAGGGTCCTGTGATTAGGCCCTGGGCCAGCTTGGGGTGAGGGCTGGGTGTTGGTTAGCTTTGCCCTGAAGCAGTTGCTGCTCTATTATTTATGGGGCTTCCTGCATTATTGAAGGAGCACAGAGAGCCAGCCTTTAGGTCTTGCAAGTCAGCCCCTGAAGCCCGTGTCTGAAAGCTCCTCTGCCTGAGCCCCAATTTGATGAGAGAAGGGCACCAGAATAGACAGCACCATTTAGACCTGGGAGTTGCCTGTCTCTGCCTCTTGCCCACCTCACTGTGCGTACTTGCTCTTGTCTGGATATAAAGATGACTGTGGGTTGGCTCAGTGGTATGCTCAGGGTACTAGTGCTTTAAGGCTCAAAATGCGATCTGCTAGGCGTGTGATTTATCCTGCGAGGAGACAGTGCAGAAGAGTGGGGAAGTCCTCAAGATCTGTTTGCAGTTTCCAAGACGCTCCGGGTTGCAGCAAACAACCAGCTCTCAAGGTGTATTCCTCTGCTGGACCATGGCCTGAAGGGAAAGGAAGGAAGAAAACAGCCATGGCTGAGCCTGTACCTGGCAGCATCTTTGGCGCATGGCAAACATCTCACCCGATTCTCCTGCCAGCCTCAGGACACTTTGGTGACGGCTGCTTTCTCAGGCGGCCGACATGCTGGGATACACTGCCGTGCCCAGCTCCGAGGCTCCGACACGAGGCAGGGCTGGGTCATGCACAGTGTGGCAGCTCTGCCAAGCCCCTCACTTGTCTCGTCTTTTCAACCCAGGTGGATAATTTGTATTTTTATACCTGCTAAATAATGAATGGCCGCGTCTTGTCAAGCGAGCAGCTGGGAACAACCAGGCTGACCTGGTTCAGTTTGCACATATTCAAGCATCTGGACCCTCGGTGTCATCCAGCAAAGCTGCCAAGCCCGTCCTCACAGCCGCTACAGCGGGATCCAAACGTTCCACCCCCGCAGGCCTCCCTTTTCCACACACTGAGTGGTGAGCTCGACTTTCTGCTTTCCTAAGGAAGCCCTCAGAGGCCCCCTTTGTCCTGAGCTTCCTCCTTGTGAGGGTCAGCGAAGCAATACTTGCAAGGCATTTTGCACAGGTTGGCACCACGGTGTGGTGATGCAGGTGTTATTACCCTGGAATTTCCCTCTGACTTTCTTCTTTTCCTCTTCTTTCTGTCCCAGTTCTCAGCCACACAGGTGTCTTGCTTAACCTGGGATCAAACACCCCCATTGCTTTGTGGCTCATCCTTCTCTCCCTTCTCTGGGACCTTGACCTTTCCCTCCCCATGCTGCCCCACCCACATTCCCAGTGTTTTTCACCTCCTGCTGTTCTCTGACTCCTTCTTTCTGCTTTCATTCAAAGGCAGTTCTCTCTGCCATTGCTTTCTTGTCCGGTGAGCTTAAATCTCATCTTCTGTGTTTCCTTTTCTTCTTTTTCCCTTTCTCTTCCTTTTCCATTGTCCTTGGCTTCTTTTTCTTCTGCTTTCAGTAAAATGCCAGTCATACCTTGTGTTCCCTTGTGATATTTCTTGAATCCTCCTCTTTCCTCTCCCCAATTCTTACCACCCTGCTCTAGGGCCTTGTTTAGTAGGCAGCAGTTCTCAAATGGTGTTCCACGGTCACTTGGGGGTTCCCAAAACCCTGTCAGGAAGCACATAAAGCAGACTCTGTTTTTGTGACAGCACTCAGATGTTACCTGCCTCTTCTATACTCAGAGGGTACCGTGGAGTTTTCCAGATGCACATGGCTTGTGATGACCTTATGGTCCTGGTGACCTGTGTAATTTCTGCTAATGTATGCAAGCGTTTTAAATTTTTCTCAGTTTTAATTTCTAATATGGTAAATACTGAAAGATATAAATCATAAAAAGAGCTTTTTGAGTTCCTCAAAAGTTGTAAAGATGAAGGAATTCTGATCCCAAAAGTTTGAGAATAGTGGTCTAGATCCTACTAGGCTCTACAAAACCTCTGTGTGGGTTAGAAAAGATGCTCCTCTGGGTGGATGAGGTCTAGTGCCAGCTCACTGGGTCTGGATTTCATCTCCCATTCATCGCTCTGGCTGAGCTCTTTGAGAAATGCACGCACTACACACGTATCCATGGTGGTTCTGTGTTCATGTGGCATCCTAACTGGTTTGCTTCTCTCCTTCTAGCCGGTTTATCCTGTACACTATTCTTGGTTTGCTTGTCTTTGCATAGCTACTATATTCGCATCAGTCCCCAGCTTCTTCTAAGGTGGTTTCCTGTTGTCTCCTGGATGCATTACAGATTCCTGATGTGGCAGTGAAAGTCCTTTACCATGTGGCCACCACTTAGCATTCCAGCTTTATTCCTTGGTGCCCCTTGGCACAGACTCTGTCTAGGCTAAACCTTGCCTTCCTGCCCCACATGTGTTTTTGCCACTTCCCTTCTGCTCTTCCCTCCAGCCTCTGCCTACATGAGCCCCCAAAGTCCAAGGTCCAGTCTCACTTCTCTTTGCATCTCCATTGCATCCTGCAACACTTTTCCCAAGGCAGATGGGTGGACAGTGTGTGGGTGCTGGGGTCCAACAGACTGGGAGATTGAAAGTGCTCTGATACACACCAGCCAAGGGACCTTAAACATGATTCCCTCATCTGCATGAGGACTACAGGGCTCCTGGGATTGTCTTGGGAAGCAGATACTCAGTAAAGGTCAGTTCCCTTCCCTCCTCTTCTCTGAAAGCACAACATACAGAGAGAAGTCTTGGGAACTTCTAGGCTAAGAGGATGATACTATATAGGGGCATTTGCACATTTTTACCTAAGATGTCCTTGTGTCTAAAACACACTGATTCCTCTCCCCAGACCCCTCATGTTTTCCTGAAAGCTGATTAGTGCTGATGCATGCTTAACTATTTTGGAATTTGCCAGTTGTCAAAAATATCCAGGGTCCTCGTGCAGTGACCCAAGTGTCCTCTCTTTTGGTACCAACCAATCGATCCCCTTAACAGCCTAGAGAGAGAATCATGTTTCCCTTAATGATCCAGGCATTCAGATTTATCGGGTACTTTTTACTGTAAGAGTTTTTGGATTGATTAATGCTGCTCACTGTTTTCATAATAACCCCATCAAGGAGGGACATGACTTCAAGTCATAAGGAAAATCCATGGAGAAGAAGGGCTTTGAACTTGATTCTTCCCCCTTCAGACCTTTGTCTTCACCAGGCTGAATGCTTCTGGAGGACAGGGGGTATCTCATTCATCTCTAGATTAACAGCACTCGGTGCATTGCCAGCTAGGGAACAGGTGCTTTCGGAGGATCTACTGAATGCCCAAAGGAAGAAGGGCAGTCCCCAAGTGGACTTTGAATATGTCTTGGAAATAGCCGACCACCTGCTCCCCTGGGGAGAAGCTCTCTCTTATTCTTGCTTGTTCTCCCTTCTTGCATTCAATAAGAATTTATGAGCCAAGCTCAATTTTAGCACAGGGAATATAGCAATGAAGAAAATAGGGTGTGTCCATGACTTCAGTGCACCTTAATTTTTATTTGGGGAATCAAATGAACAAACTAATTGTTTAAAGGGATGCTGAGGGATGACACATTCTAGAAAGAAGAATATAGCAGGATTTGGGGCTGGGCACTGCTAGGACAAGAATACATAGTAGCTTTTGTATAGAGGGTGATCAGAGGAGGCCTTGTGATTCCTTAATGCAAGGAAGGGAGTGGGTCTTGCAGATTCCTTGGGTAAGAGCTTGGAAGTCCAAAGGAACCCTGAGTACAAAGGTCTTAAGGCAGGCATGAGCCAGTTAGGTTAGTAAACTTGGGAACAGAAGGTCAGATGGCTGAAGAGGGTCAGCAGAGTGAAGGAGATAAGGTCAGAGGGGGAAGAGAATGGTGCAGGTTAGGTAGTACCCAGGCTTTCACTTTTGATGAAATGGGAATCCACCAAGGCTTTGGAGAAGAGGAGCATCCCAACCTGGCCCATATGCCAGGCGCATTAAATGAGATAGGTTTTGGTTTTAAAAATGAGTCTACTCTTTTTAAAAGTAAACAAATTCATTGTTGTATAAATTTTCCCTCTACCACGACCTTTCTTAACTTCTCTCTCCTTCATCCCTGTGGAGCAGTGGGGGTCCGTTGACCTCACGGCGCTGGGAGGGAGCTGGGTCATCTTCGGTTCAGGGGTTCCTTCCCCTCTCTTCTTGCCCACAGGAGACTGGAGCAGAACTTCTTCAACTGCAGCTGTGATATCCGCTGGATGCAGCTGTGGCAGGAGCAGGGGGAGGCCAGGCTAAACAGCCAGAGCCTCTACTGCATCAATGCGGATGGCTCCCAGCTCCCCCTCTTCCGCATGAACATCAGTCAGTGCGGTGAGTGAGTGGCCTGCCCCCACCTCTGGCTCCAGGGAGGCGCCCCTCACAGAGACGGAGCTGCATCTCTCCCAACCACCCAGCCTTGCCCTCTGCGGTTGGGTGCAGATCTGACTCGCCTTACACTCCTTGGGCATTCCTATCCACAAGCCTGTCATAGCAAGGACAGTTTTAAGAACACAGGCAGGAGTTCCACATGTCCTTCTTAGCAGGTCAGATTCTCTTGCTCCCTGTGAGTCACCTGTTACCCACACTGGAAGGAGTGTCCCAGGGAGTGGGTTCTGGACTCCTGAATCACAAACTTTTAGGGCATTTTAGAAAAGCCAGTTTTTGGCCTCAGCCATAAGACCTTTAGGATCGGATATCTAGGATGGGTCCTGGAAACCTAAATTTCTAGCAAGCTACTTGTGGAAACCTGAAACATGCTGATTTATGAGAACCAAAGTGGGATAAAACCATTGGCTTTGTTGCTAGATGTACATTCCTGAGCAGGTGCCCCACTTGTCCTTTCCCCTGGAGGAGCATCCAAGTGCAGGATCCTATTCTGAGGCCTTCTGTCTACTGGGGAGGCTGTGGGAAGTGTCTGGGGTTTGCAGGGCTTCCAAGAACTCAGGCAAGTTGTGTTGGCATTGGGCAAGGCAAGTTGTGTTGGCAATGGGCAAGGCAAGAATTGCCACCATCAAACCAGGTGTGCTGGGTCACATGTATAATCCCAGCTGCTGGGGCTGGGGATTTAGCTCAGCGGCACAGTGCTTGCCTGGCAAGTGCAGGGTCGTAAGTTCAATTCCCAGTACCGGGGCTGGGGGGCGGGGAAATCCCAGCTGCTTGGGAGGCTGAAGCAGGAGGATTGTAAGTTTGAGCCCAGCCCAGGCGATTTAGTGATACCTTGGGTTTTAAAATAAAAAATAAAAAGGATGGGATGTAGCTTATATACATGAAGGCTCTGAGTTCAGTCCCCAGTATTGCAATGAATGAATGAATGAATGAATGAATAAATAAATAAAGAAGTACCACCATCAGCCCACAACAGATCTTCTTTTGGGCAGCTCCTGTCTGTCTTTTCACTCCTCCTGTCCTCTACCACTTCTCCCAGACCTTCCTGAGATCAGTGTGAGCCACGTCAACCTGACCGTACGAGAAGGCGACAATGCTGTCATCACTTGCAATGGGTCTGGGTCACCCCTGCCTGATGTGGATTGGATAGTCACTGGGCTGCAGTCCATCAACACCCACCAGGTGGGCATCCTAGGGTCAGGTCCCCTCCAGGAGGCTGAGGAGTGATTACCTCTGAGTCATAAGCACGAGGGAACATTTGTAATCTTGTTCCAATAAGAAGAAGCACATAGAGTTGGACTCCACAGAGCTCTGATATTTTCAAGTCACTTTGACCTTATGTTTGCTACACAGCCAATCTCTGCCTTTATTTCCCCATCTGTAAAATGACTATAATGTACTATTCCCCTTATGGTGTTGATGTGAGGATTACCTGAACTGTTAACTATGAAGAGTTTTATATTTGATGTGTGTGCTTTTCCTGGAGAGATTTCCTCCTTGTGTTCTGCTTTCCTCTTGATTCCTGAAGGTGTTTGGTGGTCAGGTAGGGGAGCTACTCTTGTAGAAATGATTTCATTATTGTCTTTCTGTTGGGGTTTTCAGACAAATCTGAACTGGACCAATGTCCATGCCATCAACTTGACACTGGTGAATGTGACGAGTGAGGACAATGGCTTCACCCTGACGTGCATCGCGGAGAACGTGGTGGGCATGAGCAATGCCAGCGTTGCCCTCACGGTCTACTGTAAGTGTGCACCATCATGGGGGTTGCTGGATACCGGGCTGGTGTGGGGGGCTGGGCAGGCTGGAGCTGGGGCACTGACCCCATTCTACCAACACGGGCACAGAGGATCCCATAGGGCCGGACTGAGAAATCAGTTTTTGGAGAGCAACCCCACAAAAGGGTGTCCTTTCCCCTCCAAGGTGTCCTTTCTCCCCGCAAGGTGCTATGCTTCTCTTGCGACTGCATCTTCTAAGATGATTTCCCCAGGGGGAACTGTTGAGTAAAGCTGGATGCAGGAGGTTTGGGTGAAGAGAGGCTTCTCTATCACTCTGGTGGGGTGTTGGGGGGATCTCTGCTTTCCTGGGGCTTTTCAGAGCTGGGCAGGGGAGACTTAGAGTTCCTACCACAATGTCCCAGACTCCAGCTGGCCTGTCCCCACAGACCCTCCGCGTGTGGTTAGCCTGGAGGAGCCAGAGCTGCGTCTGGAGCACTGCATCGAGTTTGTGGTGCGGGGCAACCCGCCGCCCACGCTGCACTGGCTGCACAACGGGCAGCCGCTGCGGGAGTCCAAGATCATCCGCGTGGAGTACTACCAGGAGGGCGAGCTCGCCGAGGGCTGCCTGCTCTTCAACAAGCCCACGCACTACAACAACGGCAACTACACGCTCATCGCCAAGAACCCCCTGGGCACGGCCAACCAGACCATCAGGGGCCACTTCCTGAAGGAGCCTTTCCCGGGTGAGGGCATCTCACAGTTGGGGTGGGGTGTGGTGGCTGGAGAGAAGAGGGGCTCACACTCAGTGTGATCGCAGTAGCTATGCCCATGTGGGGACATACGACTACTGTGTGCATTTTGTGTCAGCTAGGATGAAGTCTCTATTTTCCAGTAGATGTCACTGCAAATTCCATGGCTCCTAGAAATGCAGTCACGCATATGAGTGCAGACTGTATTCTAGCTTAGAGAGCAGGGACTTCCGAGATCAATAACATAGTGGAGTCTTGGCCAAGCCTTTTACTTGGTGGGAGATTGCCGGCGTGATAGTTGGTTTTTCTACACCTTTATTTGCTCGCCTATGAAATGGGTTTCATTATGCTGCTTCCCTAGGAATACTGTGGCATATAATGCTTGGGCCACAGGGTTGGTGCGTGGTGATGATTCCATGACTTTCCATTGTAAGGAACAATGAGTCCATCCAGTTCAACCCCAGGTTTAACAAATGAGTGGCCTGGACCTCATTACTCTGGCTGGTTATTGGGAAGCCCTGGCCTCCAAGGTGGTGGTTCTTTCCTCTCTTGTTCTGTGGTGGGCTAATGGGGCAGTGCCTGATACTGCCAGCCTCTGATGACAGGGCAAATCGCTGAAGTAGTGGAAGAACTTAGGAATTTGGGGAGGTGACTCCATCTTTCTCTGAGTCTGTGCTAAGACATTCTAAGTATCTTCCTGAGGCTGGAGGAGAAGTGAACCCCACCTGAGCTTAGTGGAAGTGGTCATTTGTAGCATCTGTGGAGGGATTCTGCAGCTTATAAGGTTGTTTCTATGAAGCTGTGTCTTTGCTGACCTTGATGCTTTGTACGAGGAACAGACTGGGCGACTTTTGGCCTCCAATCCCCAGAAATCAGGGCTGCTACTGGGAAGAAGGGAAGTATGAGGACTGATATCACACACATGCAGATGCACACACACAGTGGGGAGGCAGTGAGAGCGAGCACTCTGCAGCATCTGTCTGTGCAAAGGTGACTACACAGCCTGCACGTAACCACACACATGGCAGGCTGCACGTGAAGCCAGATTTTTGCCTCCGAGGTCTAGGGAATGATGGAGGTGCATCTCAGGAGGTTATTAGGAATGCACTGATGTTTGAGACCCTGATGATCTCCTATGCCCTGATGTTTCCAACACTGCCCCTCTTACTGTCTGCCCAGTAAGAGGCCTCAAAACATTTCCACGTTGGGCTAGGCTCTCTCTGTTGGTGAGGAGAAGAATCCTGGCTTCTAGATGTGTAGAGAATTTTCTGTAATGGGCCACAAAGTTGGGCAAGGCTTTGTTGACATAATAGGCTGGCATGGGCACTTGCCCTCCTATGCCTATGTATTGATTAGGGAATGAATTTTGTTCTTATTTTTCAAAATGTTATGTTTTTGGCAGCACTGGGGATTCAACCTAGGTCCTTGCACATGCTAGGCAAATGCTGTACCGCACCATAGCCCCTGAATTCTGTCTGTAAAGAGAAGAGTCTGAACTCCCCAGTGGGTGAAGAGTGAAGTCTCTTGCAACAGTGCTTCGGTTTCCAAAAGAAAGCTCCTGAGGCTTTGAGAGAGCAGGGAGCCTTGGAATGCTCAAGAGGAGGGGTGGGCTCCATCCCCCAGAGGATATCCTGAGGGCTCAGGGCAGTAGGAGCAGTTGGATGGGACAATGGACTCAGCTTTTCTTTTGTCTCTCCCTCCCTTTGTGGGAGAAAGTGGTTGCATCCTCCCAGCAATGTGGCTGTATCCTCATGAGGTACGGCAGCCTCTTTCACAGTTCTGTATGCCTCATCACTGTAGTTGACTGTCAGGCTGCTTAGGCCAGTGGTTCCCAAGAAGTGGACCTCATACAGCCAGTGTGGGAATGAGTTAAAACTCCCATTCTGAAGTTCTCCTTGATTCTTAGGAGTCAGAGACACTAGGACGAGCCTTGCAGTTCTTCTTTATTAGACCTCCAGGTGACACTGATACCCTCTTCTTTGCAACCTGCTACCATGGCATTTGGCAGGAATCTGGCCCTGGGAGGAGGGAGAGATGATAGGGTCACAGAGAAGCACCAAAAGAGAGAGTAGTTTTCCTCTTCTCAGGCCTGACCATGCCTTGCCAGGGCCACCCTGGGTGAAACTGTGCTGGTTTTATGCACCTTGGAGTTAAAGGAATCAGTGGATGATGGAAAGGCAGTGACAGGAAAGAGATGGGCCTACCATGTCAAGTGCCAAGATGTCTAAGTGTTCAAAAGAGCAGATTACCTGGAGGAGCAGGTGGGGATGCAGGATAACCTTCTATGCCAAAGCTCACACTGGCTGCAAAGCCAGGTTTAGGACAAGGGCTCTGAAATCAGACGGATGTAGGTGCAAATCCCACATGTGGCCCTCCCGGGCAGACGGGTGACCTGGGATCCTAGCATGTGGCTTAGTGCATGGTCAGGGTTCAAGGAAGGGGAGTCACTACACTATATCTTCATTTCTTCACCTGAGGGATGCAAATGATCCCAACAGCTACTGCCCAAGTTGCTATGGGGATTAAGTGAAGTAATATATGCCAAGTGCTTACCAGACAGAGGAAAGGCACGCTGGTTGTTTGTGAGGAATTTGAGGATGCAGAGATAAGATGAACTGGGAGTTTTAGAGCTGGTAGTGATTTTCAGATCAAGCTAGTGAGTTCTAACAAATAGTCTTAAGGATGTCTAGGGTAGTGGTTATGGAGCTCCATTGCCAGAGTTCAAACTCTTATTGCATCATTTTTCAGCTGTGTGACCTTATGCAGATTACTTAGTCTCCCTGCTTCTATCTTGAAGACTGTGGTGAGGATGAATCTTCTTGAAACGCTCTTTCTGAGGAGCTGTGGTCTGGGCCTGTAGAAGACATGTGTCTTCCATTTAGGACACAGTCCGGTTTATACTCAGGAGGTACTTGGCACGCTGCTCCACTCTTCTCCCAGGCTGCCTGGGGGCCGTGGGGAGGAGCATTCCTGGTACTGTCCTCTTTTGGTATGGATGCCCATGTACCTGCCCCAAGGTAGAGAGCAGCCAAGATGACCCCGCTTCCAAAGCGCATGTGCTCCCTGGATGTAAACGTTTCCCATCTCTGGCAAAGACTTTTAATATCTTCAGGCTGATTTGGAGATTACAGGATTCATGGTCTCAGAGTTGGCCACAACATTTGGCTGATGTGAGACTGTTCTCTAATAAATGGGAGCCTTATGGCAAATATGCAAATTGGTGGATTTTGAGAATGGAACTGGCTCCTGTCTGGGTTCTAGCTCTGAGGCCAAGCCTGGAGCATCCCCAGCTCCTTCCTCCCCCTATGTCAGGCATTGGGTACCTGCAATGAGAGAGGGAATGACTGATGTGTGTGCTGAGGATTTTGGAGAAAGCCCTTTTGCTTTCCCCACAACAACACAGACCAGGCGACAAGCAAGCACCTAAACCTAGGGCATTTACTGTGAGCAGGATCTTCTCTGAAGGACTTCTTCCCAGAAAGCGTCCTGGTCCCCCAGGTGGTTACAGAAGAAAATCTGCTGGTTCACACTTAATAGAGCTACAATCACAGTGGCTGTGAGCTCTTACCAAGGGCCTGGAAATGGGAAGACCCTAGTAAACTAGTGAATGGATAAACACATGAGTGAGTGAATGATGTGCTCTTATTATCTTGGGTGTGTGTGGTAAGTTTGTGGCAGGAGGAGGTGGTGAGGTAGTGTGATGGCTCCAAAGGGACCAGTGGTAGCGTGAGCATCACCAGAGAGCCCATGAGAAATGTGAATTCTCAGGGCTGGGGTAGAGCTCTGTAGTAGAGTGCTTGTGTGAGGGTATGGATTTGATCTTCAGCACCCACACAAAATATATAAATAAAACAAATAAAAACATAAAAAGAAAGAAAGGAAGAAAGAAAGAAAGATGGATTCTTGTGATCCACCCAGAATCAAAAACTCTACGGTGAGGCCCACTAATTTTTTCTTCTTTCAGGTACATTTGAGGCAAGTACTCCACCACTGAGCTTCAACCCCTGTCCCGCTTTTTAATTTTGAAGAATATTTAACCTTTCATCTTGAAATAGTGTGGGCATTACAAAAACAAAGTTACAAAATAATACAAAGAACTTCCTTCTGTCCTTTCCCGGCTTCCCCAGGTGTCAACATCCCACCAAGTCACAGCGCAGTGATCCAAAGGCGGGTGTGGGCCTTGGCACACTGCCATTTTCTCACAGCAGTCTCGGCTCACATGTCCTCCCCTGTCTCACCTGTCCTACTGACATCTTCTTGTCATCTTGGCTTGGAATCAGGATTACACATTGTATTTAGCTGCCGCGTCACCTTGGTCTCTTTAAATCTGGGACAGTTCCTCAGTCTTTGTCTTTCACAGTCTTGGCACTTTTGAAGAATTTTCACTATTATGGACTCCTTCAGTGTAGATCTGTCTGATTTATTTTTCACAATTAAATCCTGGTTATGGATTTTGGCAACATCACAGGAAGGACGCTCTGCCCTTTGAGTCTGTCCTATCGGGGAATGGCTGGCGTCCGTATGTCTTACCACTGGTGATGGTGACTTTGTCACTTGGTCAAGAGTGTGTCTGGCAGGGTTCTCCTTCCCAAAGTGACTCTTTTCCCCTGTGCAATTAATAATAATAATAATAATAATTTGAAATGATGTGAATAGCTTGTTTCTCGTGAGTCTTTCATACACTAATTTTAACGTTCATTGAAGATTTCTGCCTGAAACAGTTATAACAATTGTACTTGCCAAATGGTGATTTTTCTATTTCCATTGTTCCTTCTACATTTATTAGTTGGAAATGTACTGTAAGGAAGAACTTTCCTTTCTTCTCCCATTTATGTATTCATTTATATATCTGTATCAGCATGGATTCTTGGATTTCATTCAATAATTCATGTGATTCATTTGCTAGGATTGCCACCACAGATGAGGTGGCTTAAACAACACAAATTTATTTTCTTGCAGTTGAGGAGGCAGGAAATTTGGAACCAGTGTTGGCGGGGTTAGTTTCATTGAAGAAGACACTGTCTTCTCCCTGTACCTTCTGTGGTCTTCCTATGTGCTTGTCTGTGCCCCAATTTTCTTATCAGATCATTAGTCATATTGGATCAGGGCCACCCTAAGGATATAATTTCAATTTAAGTGCTTAAATGAAGACCCTGTCTCCAAATACAGTCATAATCATAGGTACTGGAGGTTAAAACTTCAATATATGAATTTTCAATTTATGGATTTCCATATATGACGTTTGGTCACTGGCAGCTCCTGTTTCCACTCTTTAGGTCCCCAGTAACCTGTAATCATTTTCTTACTTTCTGATACCATAAGGTATTGTGGGAACATCTTGTATTTTCCTTGTGCCAGTCCTGAAATTGTCAATTTCTTCAAGAAATATTCTTTCTATTATTGGAGAATGGTAGTGATTACCTTCAAGACAATTCCATTGAATGCTTACATTTGGGCATCTTTTATAGAATAGTTAAGAGACTGGTTTTGGATTTGAATCCAGCTGTAATACCTTCTTAGATGAATGACATTTAATTAGTTACTTAATTCTGTAAACTTGTTTCCTCATCTGTTTTAAATGGGGATGAGGCTACCAAGCTCTTAGGTTGGCTACAAGGGTTGAATGATGTTATACAGCTCCAGGTTTAGATCATAGTAAGTGTCCAGTTAAGGATTAGCTTTTAGAATTTGGTGAGCCATTTTAGAGGCCAGAGTTCAAGTAACACATTTCCATCTGCAGAACAGGCAAATTCTAGAGGGATTCCCAAGAACTTCTCAGTGACCTACCAGAATCAACTGTACACACTGATTTGCAGACCCTCATCTTTGAGATCATAGCTTGCCCCAATCTATACCACTATCCCCAGTAATTTGGGTCCTGAATGAGAGAGATTTGTGAACCATACTGTGGATCAGGGTTTGATTCCCCATCTCATCATGAAACTAGTTTGGTTTCCAGTTTCTGGGTGGGCCACCTCCTTTGAAACAAGCAGCTCTGTCTCTCCTTCTTTCTCCATTTAGAGGACCACCCCCTAAAAAGGCAGTGCAGCATGGGAGGAGGGATGCTGTGTCAAGGACTTGGGTGTGTCACTCGCTATGGGGGCAGGGAGTCATGCTGGGTGGGAGAGGCCATGGCTGTTAGGATGCTGTAGTGTGTCTGTTCTGCTGTTTATGACCTTTGTTAATTACATTTTTGTCCTTTTTTTGCAGAGAGCACAGATATCTTTGTCTTTGGTAAGTCTGCTTTACCTTTTGGGTTGAAACTGATTTATTCAGGGGGCTGGGAACTTAGCTCAGCGGCAAAAGCACCTGCCTGGCAAGCGCAAGGTCGTGAGTTCGGTTCCCGGTACCGGAGAAAAACCAAAAAAGAAACTGATTTATTCAGATACTTTTGGTCACCACTGACTTCGATCAGCCCTCTTTCCTATGCCATATTAATCCCAGCCCCACGGCAACTGGAGGCATCTGATGAACTATAAAAAGGAGCCAGAGAGTATAAATGTAGTTCTCGTTTGACAGTTCCAAACCCACTTTTATTGGGTAATCATGCTGTACCTCAGTTCCCCCTAGGGAGTTTTCTAAGGTGTGACCATATTCTGGGTCTCCCCACCTGGATGAAAAGGGGCAGTGACAGATGGGAAAAGGGCTTCATGTGCCCTCATTGACCCCTATTGAATCGTCTCAGTTGTTCTTTTTTTTTTGTTTTTGTTTTTGTTTTTCTCCGGTACCAGGAACCGAACTCACGACCTTGCGCTTGCCAGGCAGGCGCTTTTGCCGCTGAGCTAAATCCCCAGCCCCCGTCTCAGTTGTTCTTGCAGAGCAAATCTGGAGCCTGCATACCTGCTGATCTTTCTCACCTGCTTTAGGAATGCAAGAGTTTGGCCAGAACCCATGCTGTCTAGGGTTGTTATTTTGTAAGATCTTCTGATAGGTTTATGTGTCCTCACATGGAATCTTGAGGCTCAAATTGTAAGTGATGTGGGGATAGGGCTAGACAGTCCTAAAGGATTTGGGGTTTTGCTAGTGGGTTGTGGGAAATTTGTATTTATTCTTTTCTCTTCCCCATGGGAAGTGGAAATAACAGCAGCAGTTGATATCATTCTGGTTCACATCTGGCTCAAGATAGCAAACGAGCCCTGTTTAGGGATACCCCCAGCTGTTTGGCATTGATGTAAATATCTTCTGTGGTTCCTTTAGTTGTCCTTGGTCTTAGGGGATTTGTAACCTCACAGATGTCCCTTCAGAGAATTCTGAAATTAGGGCCATTTCTTGCCAAGGAGGTGATTCTGGATGCAGTATAAATCTAGACTTGGCTTTTCCTCTAGGGTTTAGTGGGTATGGGTGGTGTACCTGGTAAGGCGGTTGTGTCATTTCATTTGAGCTACTGCTGTGTTCTGAAATCAGTGTTACACGAGTGGATACTAGGTTGTTCATGAATCCACAGGATTGCATCTCACTGTGGGGTAAAAGGGAAAAAGGACTAGCGTGGGGGTGATGGAGAGAGGAAAAGGAATGCCCCCAGCTAGTGGTAACAGAATGTCAGTAACAGCTGCCATCACCAGTAAAGTGTGCCTAATCCAGACCCTGGCCAGGATCCCAAGCCATTTTCCTCTTTCCTGTCCCGTAGCTCATGGTGCACGCTGCCTAGGTTATGGGGTCGGGGTAGGAGGAGGCCAGCGAAGGCCCTAAATGCTCCATGGTGCCTGTCCTTGAGCTGAAGCACCAGCCAAGTGGGCAGACAGGGACCTGGCCTCTGGAACCCCTGCAGTCCTGGGAGGGCAGGCTGTGAAAAACAGCCTCCCACAGAGCCTTCTCTAGTAGGAAGTGTCAGGGGGCCTGGAAGCAGGGCAAGGACTGTGGCTGAGCCTCCCATGGCTAGAAAACTAACTTCCCTTCTTCATGCTTTTCAGAATCCGATGTGAGCCCTACCCCTCCTATCACTGTGACTCACAAACCAGAGGAAGACACTTTTGGGGTAAGTCACTTCTTGGTCAAAAGAGCATGTTCACTGGTATAGTCAGTTTCAGGCTTCATTTGAGTTGCTGACTTTTCCAAATATTGTCATACTTGGAACCTCAGGACCTTAGGCAGAAAAAAATGATGAATGATCTCCTTTCAGGCAGTTTAAACCTCCCTTGTTTGATGGGAATAGCTCATTGTTTGAGGAAGAATTTGAGGCAGACTTTGAGGCTCATTTCCAAGCCCCGGGGTTCGGAAGAGAAGATTCTGAAATCCTCAGTCTGTCAGGCTGGGCCTGAGTTGCAGGGCTGCTCACCCAGGAGCTGCCTGTAAAAGTCCAAGTTGCTCAGGGCATTTCCTAGGGTGGCTTTTTCAAACCCTATTCACACACAGCCTGAGGTGTCCCTGGGGAGGTGAAGAGAGGCTTCTTCAGAGCACAGATCTTTTAGACCTTCCAGGAGAGGAATATTATGTAAAAATATTTCAAGATAAAGATGCAAATTTTCTTGCTAATTAAAACAATAGAAGATTTGCTTTTGTATCTGTAAAATGGCCTCCAGGTGAGAGGGGCTTAGAACACTAAATTATGGAACTTTCTCTAATTAAGTTGGGCAATTTATATTTGTAAATGTAAAGCAATTTAAAATTTTTCTCACAGCCTCATGTATTGTTTCTCCCAAAGACCTTATTAACTTCATAGTAGAAATCTGAGGGGCTGTCCTTGCTAGTGGGGCAGGACTGTTCTTCTCTGAATTATGAGTTATTTTGAGGCGCTGGGGTTTCCACAACTGTCCCCGACTCTCTGTGTTTGGCTTCTAACAGGTATCCATCGCGGTTGGACTTGCTGCTTTTGCCTGCGTTCTGTTGGTGGTTCTCTTTATCATGATCAACAAGTATGGTCGACGGTCCAAATTTGGAATGAAGGGTAAGGTGGGATGTTCAGTTCCAAGGTTGCCAAATGTTCTACTTCCACCTCTGTGTGTGGAGACTCTGTGTGTGCCCTAGGAGACTCTGGTTGTGGGGCCTAAGTAGTCCTTGTGGAGGTTCCTTGGTCACTGTGGATGAAAGGCCATGTTGGGATTGGTGGGAGCCAATCTGTGGACCTCCTGGTTCTACTGTGGCTGCTGATAACCACTGCTCAGATGGGCCTATGAGATCTGGATGATTTGGAAAGAAAGTTGGATTGGAGGCTAAGTGAGGAGGATTTTGGTTTCTTTGCTGGTTGGTAAAAGGACTCCTGGTTTGAGTGACTTGGTTTTTCTCTCATTAGTGCTTATCTTTGGAGTCAGGGAAGGAGTCAGCATAGCTAGATATGGGGTTGTAAACTCTGGTATTGAAAAACTGCCCACACCATATTAGTTCAGCACATAGCTCTACACAAAGTCCCGGATGGATGCCAAGAGCAACATGATTTCTAAATCTGCTGGCCAGCTTCCATGACACAGAATATTCAGCCTCATTGTAGAAGGGGGTGTGGTGGTGGGATATGGCGGTAGGCCAAGACTGGGTAAAGAGGCTGGCATGAAAGGGGTTAATATGGTGAATTAACACCCATCTGCCTGGTCCCAGAGACGGGTGTGAGCAAGTGGCTCAAGGGAGTCTAGGTACCAGTTCCGGAAGAGAAACTTGAATCTCAAGATATGCTCAGCAGGGACAATGAAAGATAAGGTTGAGGCTAATGTTTGCTAGTGAGACCATGATAACTGGAAAGACAAACTTCTATGGCTTCTGCTCAGGAGCTGGTGTCTACACAGGAGGTGGTAGTCTTGACGGTGGAGTTTTGGACCAGAGGAGAAGACATGACTAGCACTCACAGGGATGGTATCCCCTGAAGTACTATGCAAATGTTTGAGTGTTTGTTCATGGCAGGGGTTGATTATTCACAGGTAGAACAGAATGAGCACATAGCTTTTATTATATTCTCAAAGGATTCTGTGCCTTCCTACAAAGCTGAGAACACTAATACTTAGGAAGCTACCTGGAGAGGAAAAGGACAGAAACTATGGGGTCAGACTGCACAGTTTCCCAGAGTCTTCTATTGCTGCACTTTCTGTTTTTAATGAACCTGGCTAAGTCCTAGGGAGGCCAGCCAAGCTTTCTTGGATCATCAGAAATATTCTGGTCAAGGGAAATTTCATGCAGGCAAATTATAAAAAAGGAATGGAAGTTTGATGACATAAGCAAGATAAGACCACTCCTAGTCTCCTTGATTAGAGATGTTTTATCTGTCATGTGTGAAAATGTGTGGGTTTAGATGAGACGACCACTTAATAAGCTCCAAACTTTCAATCTAAGGGTGGCCCTTGGGCTCAATTTGAGGGCGGGCACTGTTACTTTTGCAATGTTTTCTTATCATACCAGGGACCTTCTTAGCTCTTCCTCCTCATACAGGAGAAAAGTCACTGACCAAAGGGAAGAGTTGGGCATTATTGCTCTCCCCTGAGGAGGTGCTCCACCAGCTGAGACCCTGCAATATGCTTGGCAGTGTTGTGAGAGCAGATTTTTCCTATTAATTGTCACCCTGTTCTGGAACAGTACGTCTCCGTGTCGGATGGATTAGGCAGCACCCCGGGCGGTGCCTCTCCTCAGCTGTCCTCGGAGCCTCTCCCGGTCTCTGCTCCCTTTTCCCAGGCTGAGCTGCTTCTCTCAGCTCTGGTTGGGCCAGGAGAACATGTTCATGTAGGTGGAAATGAAAATCCCCTGTTCCAAAGTAAGGTAACTTACAGAAATTAGGCTAGCGTTGGATGCAAGGTAAGAAATTCGTCTAGAGTTGAGGTACCACTGTAAGCCTGACTGTTTAGAATTAAGCCTGCAGCTCACTGATCTTTATTAAGCCAGATTGAGTTTAAATCTCATTAGGATAAATAAGCAAATGCCTCAGGCTGCAGATGGCTTAGTTTTTCATTGCAGTCTAGGAAAAAGAGCGATGACATAGGTACCGGAAGTCTCCCCACTCAGCTTTAGGCAAACCCTATCTCTTCACAACCACCCCATTCTCAGGATTGATTTTTTAGATTTGAGGAAGAATCTGTAATTGCTCTTTGGCTTCCTTTGGGTTACTTTCCTTCCTGGAGCCTCTGTTTCCTCAACTTTAAAGTGGGAATCATACTGTTTATTTAATCTGGTGGTTTGAGTGTTGATATGTAGGGTAACTGGCTGTGTGTGTTAGCATCTTGTTGCTGTGACAAAATACCTGACTGAGTAAGTCAAACTGTAAGGAGAAGTTTATTTTGCCTCATGGCTTTAGAGGTCTCAGTCCATGGTTGTTTGGCCCCTTGCTTGTGGCAGTACAGCAAGTGATGGAAGCATGTGGCAGAGGAGGTCTGCTTACCTCATGTAGGCTAGGAAACTAAGAGACAGACAGGAAGTGGTCAGGATCCCTGTATCTCCTTCAAGAGCATGGCCCCCAGGGACTTCATTTCCTTCCACTGGACTCCACCTTTTAAAGGTTCCATTACCTCCCAAGGCTGGTAGCCAAGTTCCAGCATATGAACTTTTGGGGAACATTTCAGATCGAAACCATAACACTGGCATATAAGAGGTCTGCTTGGATGGCTTTTCTTTACATATAAACCTTTATAGGTTCCTTTTATTGTCCTTCCATGAAGGATTTCCTTCCCAAGACTTCACCAAACCCCCTTCTGGTCTAGACAGTATGTAGTAAAAATGCCTTTATTAACAGAAATCCCTATGAACGGTCAATTTGTTGCTCACATTTCATCTCTCTGTCCTCCTAGACCATTGGCATTGTATGGCAGAAACCGGGGGTCACTCAACTCAGGATGTCTGAAATTGTGTACTGTGTTTGACAAATGCTTGTTGAACTTAGAAATGAAGGAGCTTTAGTTTTAATCATCAAAAGCACATATATATACTAACAATGGACTGGTTAGGGCTAATTTGGAAATCCAAGATGCCTGAGCAGTGGGAAGTTGGGTGGGGAAGATGGGGGGAAGTGCATAAGCAATTCCTACCTCCATCTCTGAGGGCCAGAGACACTAGATGTGGAGAACCTACTACTGTGAACTTCACTTCCTTTCAAGAAATAAAAATTATAGAAACATACAAAGAAACATGCACACTCAGATTCTTCGTGTTTAGAATAAGCACTGTTATTGTTTTGTTTTTTTAAATTTACATCTAATGTTTTATTCTTAGAAGAGATAAAACATGACCAACAAAATTAAAACCATTTAGATGTCACCTCTGGTCCTATTCTCATTCTGATCTCTACAGGCAGCCATTTGCCTGAGTTCAGCATACACACACGTCTTCACTTGTTTTAATATGTATATATGTGTATGTATGTATGTATGTATCTATCTATCTATCATCTATCTACAGTACTGAGGTTTGAATCCAGGTTCTTATGATTGTAAAGATAAGCTCTCTACCACTGAGCTACAACTACAGCCCTTTTAAATTTTTGAGACAGAGTCTTGTAGAGTTGCCCAGCCTGGCTTCAAACTTGTGATCCTTCTGTCTTAGCCACCTGAGTAACTGCAATTACTGTAGTGCACCGCTATTCCCGGCTTGCTTTAGTTTTTCTCCCTGTGCATCTACCTCTCTGTGTGTCTCTGTCTGAAACTCTGCCCTTCCCTCATGGGTCTCTCCCCAGCAGATTTAAACCCTGTAGACTGCCAAATTAGTAGCCATCTCTACTAAATGCTAGTACCAGTGCTCTATGTACACATACATATAGACTATATGTATACATTTACAAAATGCACTGCTTATGTTTTCATTTATATGCACATCTGCATTTTCCTTTATTTGCTTGTCACATGTTAGAGATATCCCCACATTAGTATAAGAATTCCACTAGACACCTATTTTATGGGAGATGAATATGTTCACCAGATCTTCTAGAAATGAACTGAAAATGCATTACCTCAACCCCCCATGTACTTTTTTCAGCTGCCATCTTATGGTCAAAATTATGGGATGGGGAAACCACTTTAGGATGTGAACTCATCTTCTCTTGGAATCACAGAGGTTTTAAAGTGGTGCTGGGCATACAGCGGGGTGTCTTTTTGCTGCTGCTGAAGCTTAGTGCATTAGAATGGGCCTTAGTGGGATCTGTGAAGTATCTGTTGTGGCCCGGCTGGGACCAATCAGCCAGCTCTCCTGCTGGAGCAGGGCCCTGCAGGAGTCCAATGCCAGTTTTCCTAGGCCTCCACTCTGATTGCCAAAATCCAGGGGTAGCCAGGGAGTTGGAAGCTGGGTATTGGTGAGACTCAGGGTCAGGGCTCTTTACTGGAGGCACAGAAATATACAAAAAGTGTTTCAGTCTTCTAACAAGAATGTTATTGTGCCGGTTCTAGGCCTGGAAGTGAGATGGTTCAAAATTTTTGCTAATTTCATCATCACTACATATTTTTAGATTAGGCGTCAAAAGACTATGACAATGATCTGGCTTGGCTGTCCTGCATCGTAGAACAAAAGAAATTGAGGTTGAGACACAAAAGTAACTTGCTCCAGTTGTCTGGTTAGAGCACGTTGGGTCTAAAATTGCCTACTTTTGTTCCCCAGGCCAAGAGGACTTCATTCGTGTCCTTCTGGGTACATTAGAGGCAGCCTGGAAGGAGAATGACAGGATGAGGCCTGCAGCCTGCGGGGAGGGGACCCAGGAGTAGTGGGCTCAGGTTAGCAGAAAGGCCAAACATCTCTTGCTTCTTATCTTGGTTGTTGGATGCCTGCTGGTGCCTCTGTTGGGCCTGTTTGTGAACACTCGTGGACTATTCCATTGTAAATTAGCATTAGTTAATAGGTACTTAAAGCAAAGTGGTTGCCTATTTGATTATGATTGGGAATTATTAACATTTTCCCCATAAACAGATGGTAGCTGTCCTCTGAATGGATTGTAGACCCATGCCAGAGTCTTGATTTGGAGGGACTGGCTCTTGCCAGAAGATCTCGGGGGCC